CCAACGTCACCCACTGTCACCATGGGACCCCTGTGTCACCCCCTGTCACCCCCCTTGTCACCACAGGACACCCCTATCAGCTCTGTCACCCCCATCGCTATGGGACACCCCTGTCACCTCCTGTCACCACAGGACACCCCTGTCGAGGTGTCCCCATTCCCCTACACTGCTGGGGAGCCCCCAAGACGCCCCCACACTTTTGGGGTGTCCCCAGGACCCCCCCACACTTCTGGGGTTCCCCTCTTACTTTCCAGGTTCTCACCCATTTTTGGGTTTCCCTCCCATTTTGGGGTTACCCCCCAATTTTGGGGTGCCCACCCAATTTTTGGGGTGCTCCCCCCCTTGAAGCTGTCCTCAAAGCAGCCGTGCTCCCCAATAACAGCCCATGATGATGAGTTTGGGTCCCCCCCTCCCTATACTTTTGGGTCTAACCTCCAGTTTTTGGGGTTACCCCCCATTTTGGGGTGCCCTCCCAATTTTTGGGGTGCCCCCCACCTTGAAGCTGTCCTCGAAGTAGCCGTGCTCCTCCAGGAAGAGGCCGTAGTTGATGACGATCTGGGGGGTGGCGATGCGCAGGTCCAGGATGCGGTCGTACACGGCCTTGGTGGACTTGGGGGGTGCAAAATTGGGGTACAGGGGGGTCAGCACCCACCATCGGCACCCCAAAAACCGGGGGGACATGGGGGGGGCAGAACCCAACAACCAACACCCATTCATGGTGGTACAGGGGAGTATGGGGGGGTCAGCACCCACCATTGGCACCCCAAAAACAAAAGGAATATGGGGGAGGGTTTAGGGACCCCCTGGGTGGTTTTAGGGACCTGAGGGTGGTTCAGGAACCCCTGGGGGGTTTTGGGGGAGGGGACCCCTGGGGGGTGTTGTTTTTGGGGTGTCGCCCACCTGGAAGGTGCCCAGGCCTCCTCCAGGCCTGGTTTGGGGACCCCAAGGCAGCATTTAGAGACCCCAGGGTGAAGTTTAGGGACCCCTGGGGGGTGTTGTTTTTGGGGTGTCACCCACCTGGAAGGTACCCAGGCCTCCTCCAGGCCTGGTTTGGGGACCCCAGGAGAAGTTTTAAGGACCCCTGGGAGGTTTTAGGGATCCAAGGGGGGTTCAGGGACCCCCCGGGGGGTTTTGGGGACCCCTGGGGGGTGTTGTTTTTGGGGTGTCACCCACCTGGAAGGTGCCCAGGCCTCCTCCAGGCCTGGTTTGGGGACCCCGGGGGGCGGGGGTTTAGGGACCTCTGGGTGGTTTTGGGGACCCCAGGGCAGGGTTTAGGGACCCAGGGGGGGTTTAGGGTCCCAAGGGGGGTTTGGGGGACCCCCAGGGGGGTGTTTTTGGGGTGTCACCCACCTGGAAGGTGCCCAGGCTCTCCTCCAGGTCGGCCAGCATGGCCCAGACGCGCAGGGATTTGTAGAGGCGGTTCTGGACGGGCTCGGTGCTGTCGAAATATTCGGCTCTCTTGGCGGGCAGCGCGGTGGCTTTCTGGGGGGGGGACAGGGGACAAAGGGGGTGACACCGGGGTCCCCAAGGGCCACACGGACCCCGCCATGGGGCACCCATCACCCTTTGCCCCCTCCCAACACGGATAATGGGACCAGAAGCCCCATTATGGGACCAAACACCCCACTATGGGACCCTAATGTGACATTAGGGAACCCGGAAGTGACCCGGAAGTGACCCGGAAATGACCCGGAAGTGACCCGGGTGTCCCCAAACCCTGCCATGGAGCATCCTCCCAATGTGGCTGATGGGACCCAGTGCCCATTAGGTACCCGGAAGTGCCTCGAGGAAACCCGGAAGTGACCCGGAAGTCCCCAAATTCCCCCATGGAGCACCCTCCCAATGTGGTTGATGGGACCAAATGCCCTATTATGGGACCCAATGGCTGTTAGGGACCCGGAAATGACCTGAGGGGACCAGGAAGCTACCCGGAAGTTGCCTGAGGGAACCCGGAAGTAGCCCGGATGTCCCCAAACCCCCTCAGGGAGCACCCTCCCAATGCAGCTGATACGACCAAACACCCCATTATGGGACCTAGTGGCCATTAGGGACCCGGAAGTGACCCAAGGGGACCAGGAAGTGACCCCAAAACCCCCCTGGAGCACTCTCCAATGTGGTTGATGGAACCCAGTGGCCATCAGGGACCCGGAAGTGACCCAAGAGGACCAGGAAGTGACCTCAAAACCCCCCTGGAGCACTCTCCAATGTGGTTGATGGAACCCAGTGGCCATCAGGGACCCGGAAGTGCCATGTGGGTGTCCCCCGCGTACCCGCAGGATGCGCAGGGCCTCATCGTAGTTGTGGTGGCGCAGCTCCATCTCCCCAAATTCGCACCAAACGGCCGCCAAATCCTCCACCTGCCGGAACCGCACCCGCGTGGCCTTGGACAGGATGGTGCGGGCCTGGGGACACAGGGGACAATCAGGGGACAGGGAGGACATAGGGGATATGGGACAGTCAGGGGACGGTCAGGATCTGGGGACAGGGGACAGCCAGGGCTGAGGGGACAACTGGGCTTTGGGGGACATGGGGGGACATCCAGGGGACAATCAGGGACAGGGGGAGACACAGGGGACCTGGGAGACATGGGGGGACTGTCAGGGTTTGGGGACATGGGGGACAGCCAGGGACAGTGGGAGGACATGGGGGACGTGCAGGGGCCATGGGGGACACAGGTAGGGTGGGGGTGTCCCCAGGGGGTGTGGGGTGTCCCCAGGGGGTGACAAATGTCCCCTCACATCCTCCAGTTGCCCGTTGTCCTCGTAGAAGCGGGCGAAGGCCACCCAGAGCC